GTATTCCAAGACCTCGGAGCTTGTTTTAATCCGTATAAGCTACGTTTTAATTTACAGACTTTATCTGTGCCATCACTATAGCCTTCTGGCTGTTTGATGTAAATTTCTTCGGCAACTTCTCCATTCAAAAATGCAGTTGTTACATCAAACTGTTGTAGCTTCAGATTTTCACTAGCAGCCACTCCAAGTAAAGCTCTGATTGTAGCTAATCTTACAACTGGACTAAACGTTTTATCAAAGTCTACTCCGGGTTCCTGGAAAAAACCTTTAACTACCAGTCGTGCCTTATATCTTTCAATTGACCCATCAGGATTCATTTTCACTTTATATACCCATTTGGTAGGTAAAGCTCGTCTTCCTTTTGGTAAATCGACCAACTCCCATGTATTATTTTCATTCAGGGAAGTGATTTCGGATAAGATTGCCTCTAACCATTTATCTCTATCTGAATTTTTCATTGCCTCCTTATATGATAGCGGTTCATTAGGCTTATCATCGAGTTCATTTACTGCTGTCATTACATAATCACTAAAGCGCTAAGGTGGTACAATTTTTGATCTGTCTCTTAGAGACCGTCCTGTGTGTTCATTACGAATGCTAGGCTCCATTTCATTATCAATGTGATCTTCTTGCTCAGCATATTCTGAAACTCGGTCAGGCTCTTCAACATTACATTCGTGATTTGTGCCTGTCTCGGGCTGGTTAATTTCAGATTCAAATTCTTCATGAATGGTAGAGCTCCTTTCTGAATCTTTTTTATTATCAAAATATACTAATATATCTCTAGGACTATGTTTAACATTGTTTGAGTTCTTATTTACATTTTTTTATACAAAAATCTGTTTCCAATTCTTATATCTCTAGAAATAATAGTTTTATTTTTATTTGGGATATAAATCCTGAAAGCTTTAGAATGCTCTGAATATCCAACAAACCGACTAGAGCTTTTGAAGAAAATTTGTCCTTTTGGTCCTTTTTTAAGAACAAATGTTTTTGAACCAAACTTATATTCATATATGTTGACACAGGGTTCACGTCCAACCCATAGCTTGAATGGCGTATTAAGCCCTTGTTAATACTTCTATTCGAAAGATAATTTGCGGTAAAAATAGCTTCCGCCCATAAACTCATAGGTGCATTCGATTCTATCATCATGCATCGCGCTTTTTCTATTAGAGTTCGATTCTTTCTTTCAGCTATGCCATTTTGGTTTGGAGTAACCTTATACTCCAGGACATGACAATCTGCATGATACACCATGACTTTTAAGGTAAGAATTAAAATAGGTATTTACATATTCGGTACCATTATCTGTTTGAAGAAATTTTACTTAATTTACTGTATAGTTTTCAGATTCTTCTTTGTACTCTTTAAAAACTTCTAGCACATTTTCTCTTGTTCTTTATAAAATACACTCGACAGTAACGACTACAATTGTCTATGAAGGTAACAATGTATTTATTCCCATTAACTGAAGGTGATTGTATAGGACCACAAACATCGATATGTACGATCTCAAGTCTTTGAGTCGTACGTGGTATTGTGGAGTCATTTTTATTACAAGGAATTCTGCAAATTTTTGCTTGAATACATATCTCACAATCTCCAAGTTGATCTGCATCGTCAAAATTTAGGCCTTGTAAAGACTCGTTCCTCAAAGCGAGCTTCATATCTTTTTCATTCATGTGACCCAATTTAGAATGCCGTTCTTGTATCGAATTATAACTTACTTGATTGCAGGTATTCTGTGTCTTTGCTATAGATTTGGGTGAGACTAAGTACAACCCATCTTTTTGTTTTTCGGCTTGTAGTATAAGACCTATTCCTTTCTGCACAACTGTAGCTTTTTTGTTGGTGAAATTGACTGTACATCCAGCTTCCGTAATTTTTCCAACTGATAGGAGATTTACTTTTAGGTCACTTGTACATGTAGAGTGTATCCTTCAAAGTGATTTCACCGTGAGGATTTAAAGGTCAAGTTTAAAATTATTGATCCTTTTCCTTTTATTTCTGCTGTTGCGTCTTTGGAGGCAAGGCGGAGAGTTTGACGTCTTTGTCATTTCTGCGAACATGTCTCTATCATTCGACATATGTGCTGTGCATCCAGAATCTAATATCCACTCCATATCCTGTGTATTTTTATTGTAATTCATCAACGAAATTATTTTTATCATGTGGCAAAATTATTTTTATGTTTATTATTACTACTGGATACCTGCCTCTCTTTATTGTAATCTTTGCCTTTAATCTTGTCCTTTCTTTTTACAAAATTTGCAAAATGCGTAAAAGAATACTGTCTCGGATTCGGAAACATTTGCCTCTACTTGTTTACAAGAATCATATTTATAATTTTTAATTTTTTAAAGCATGTAACTGCTTGATGTTTAAATCTAAAGAAGAAAAAAAACCTATTGTGGGTTACCTATAATGCGAAGAGATGGCGCTGCCTTGCAGCTTAAGAATGGCTAGAGGAATTTCGACGCGGTCCGTGAGGGCCGCGGTAGCATAATTGGTCAGTGCATTCGCCCGGATTGCGAAGGGTGCGGGTTCAAGGCCCGTCTGCTGCCTGGTCCGCGTGGATTTTTTTCTAATTATATTTTCTTAAGAATTATATTCTTCTATGATTTTTATTTTTAGGATTTCAGGTTTTGGTAAAGTATTTCTCGACTCTATGGCAACTCTAAAGTTTTCAAAATCAGCGGAAAAACTGTATAACATAACAATAGATACCAAATCATCATTTATTAAAATATCCATATCAGCTAATTTATCGACTGTATCCATAAATATATTTAGATGCTCTCGTACATCTCCACACTGCTTAGTCAAAATTATATGTTTTAGTAAACTAGCTGTTCGTGTGGGACCTTTACTGGCATAAATTTCTTTCAGTTTTGTCCAAATATCATGTGCAGACTTACAGTTTTTAATTTGCTTTATCTCCGATGGCGAAATCAATAAAATCAATTCTGATTGAGCCAATAGGTCCTCTTCTTTTACATGTTTATTGCTCAAGTCCTCGGATTTTTCAACAAATTTCCATTGCTTGTTTTTTATGAGGATAGCTTTGGCCTGTATCGCCCAAGTGTCGTAATTATTTTTATATTATATTATATTTCGATTTTTGAAGTCATTTTTATATGAATCGCGGAGCTTTGCTACCATATAAAAGTAATATCATTGAAAGATAACAGACTTCAGTAAATATATATATTCAGAGAATAAAGAAACTGTTTGTTTTATATTTTACATTAAATAATATTGCACACTGACATAACTCTATCAACAACCCGTTGCTAGGTCACCATGTAATAAGGCTTTATGCATTCACACTAGATCGTTATATTACGTAAAAAAAAGATTGGATTTCAAAACAAAGTCTGTGTACTAAAGAAAAGGACGTTAAATATCCCCTTCTGGTCGATCCTCATAAAATCCTTCTCCCTCCATTGCACATAAAATTGGGATTAATGAAGAACTATGTTAAGGCTCTCAACAAAGATGGACTAGCTTTCAAATACTTGCGAAGTAAATTTCCACATCTAAGCGACACCAAAATAAAAGAGGGAATTTTCGTCAGACCTCAAAGGAGATTGGTCAAATTGGCCTAAATGCAAATAAAATATTGACATATATAGTAATTCTTGGCGTAATTTATACTTTATTTTACAGTCATTAGATTTTAACGGCCACCTTTAAATAATATATTAATTTTAAAAAAGGACTTCTATTTTTACCGGTTTGGAAAACATACGAATCATTTTTATTGGCTATGGGTGTAGTAACATTCACAAAGACTGATCGAGGTTGTTTATATAACATCAAAACAAATCTATTTTGTAAAGATTGATAAAATATATTTTTTTTTTATTACACGGGTGGTATTAATATCCACAACTTTATTATCATTTTTACTACATGCAAATGTGCTAAGACAATTAATATAGATGGTAGGCAACATCATAAAGTCTATTGCCGTACATTTTTTGCCAAACACCTAAATAAACACATTATAAGGTGTGATACACTAAAAATCTAAAATATGGTTATAATAAAAACATAACAAAAATAATGAAGCTGCTGAAGATATGGCTGTATAACCTACAGCTTTTAGCTTTCTTTGATTAACGAGAGTTTAAAAATTCTCTCTAATCTGTGGCTCATTCACAATCATCACACAGTTTCTGTTCGTGTTTTTAAAAACATGCACATATCTGTTATTTTACATGCTCTATATACCTGAATCTAATACATAATATCGGTAGGTACTTGGCTTGATTGCCCTATTTTCCTATATAAGTTATTTGGTTTTTATTATTCTAATACCTATGTGCCTATTTGCAAACAAAACCTCAAAATCATTCAGTGTATATGGTTTATAGAAGTTCTCAGGAGTGGCCGTCGATAATATTCGTTTCTACGGTAATTTATATATAATTTCGAATGTAGGAAACAATTTTTCATGGTTATTGGTTTTTAGGCCAAACATGTATGGAAGCTGAGCAATCTCCTTTGAGGCATTTTTAAGGACCAAAACTTTGATTCGATTTTACTATTTATTTTACGCTCGAGTAAATCCAAAAATCCCCGCTTGGGCTCCCCTGCCATAGTTACCGTTTGATTAAAGGGGTGCATCGGTGCATGCAGGCAGACCGACCGAATACCTTGTTCAGCAGGGAAGAGCTTGGATGAAGAAATGTCTACTTTTAAATGGGGTAGAGCGAAAAAAATGTTTCGCGAATTTGACTTTCCGCTTTTCCTTTTTCAAAAGAAAGTAATCATTTCGTTTTACTCTATCCCGCAGCCGGGTGGCGCTACACCCAGGTAGAAAATGTTTGGTCAATGTCACAAACACAAATGATTCATGGATTCGTGTGTCTGCTGTGTTCGTGTTACTTAATTGTCGTAGTAATTATTTGCTCCGGACATTGTAAAAGGCGTATTGAATGCTCAGTTGCGGATGGTTTCAGTTGCAGTCAGGGACAAATTAAAAAAAATAATAGCAATATTATTTTATATTTTATTCAGTTTCTTAAAACATTACTACTGATAAAATTAACAACTCACATAATTTTAAATTTTTTGTCATTAGTTATCCGACGTGACTACTACATATAGGTACTATGATTCCCTCAATGTAAGTCTGTAGTATTTCAAAACAGGATCTTCAATTAAGTATTCGCTATCCACTACACCCTGCTCTTCCAAAAAGTCAGTATGCGCTTGCAGCCAATCTAAATACAACTTTAAGTATCTGTCTCCAGGAACCAAATCAGTGTGACCCAAACAGAATATCCTGTAGGCGTCCTCTCCATATTTTCCTATACCACAAAGGTCGCTAGCCCGCCGCCATTTGGAAGAGACAAATTGGTAACTAAGTTTCCAAATGATGTGAGCTCGTTTTCTTAGGCCTAGTTTATCAAAAAACTGTTCTAAAGAGGACGGTGTGTCTGAAAGAACGTGATAGGGCGTCGGATAATCCTCGAAAAAGGTTTTCATGTAGGGTCTGGCGACTTTACCAAAGGTTTTCGTTAAAAAAATTGTCGCTACCATCATTGCCCACGGGTTCGCAGCGAATTCTTCTTCGAACACATAGTGAGGTGATACCGGCATTTCTCTTGGAGTAACGTTGAAAAAAGGCTTTATTCGGATTGGCTCCTGTTCCTCTATAGTCAGCTGAGACAGGCTAAGCCCCTCTGTATCAGACTCCATAGAACACTGACTCAAGTTTTGAGAAGATTCAAGGTTGGAATCTGATGGAATCTTGAGAAGATTTTGTGCGGAGGCGTTAGGTTTATCTTCGGAGAAGAATCGGCTTATACAATCTTCCTGATCAGTCATGCTGAGGGTATCTGAAAAAGAAAAGTTTGATTTATTGTATGTGCTTGAATTCTGAGCGAAATGAAGGATTCTGTAGTTAATACCATGAAGCTAAAGATTCAAGTCTGCCCAAAAGACCAGAATGAATAAGAAAATTAAAACATAGAATTTTGTTTCTGTTATTTTTGTAAATCAATGTCTACAGCGTCTAACAATTTGAAAAAAATAAAGGAATGTAGCTTTTGCTTGTAGTTTAGTTAAACCTATAAAAAGTTTATGGTATCCCTGGTTCTGGTTCCTTTTGCGTCTAATATAACCGGTTCGTATCAGTTTATAATTTTTGCGAACGGAAAAACCCTTTCCACCCGAGTTGCACTCGCACTTGATCGTTTTTTTTTACTATTTTTTAATAAAACCCGTCCCGTCACTGGAGTTGAGTGCACCCGAATTACTTGGAAACACTAAAATCCACAACTCTACATTTCTAGAGATCTATTATTACACGGACACGGACAATAAAATGATGGAATTAGTAGAGGGGACTCTACGGTGTTCACTCAGTAATTTAACATAGTCCTCTGCAAGAGAGGCTTAGATAGAGTGTTCCATGAAAGGTGCGAAAAGCGGCACGGCTGTGTCACTGGTATTGCTGTTATCCATGGGCGACGGTGACCAAGGACTAGTAAACATCAGGTGGCCTGTCCGCTGGTTTGCCTTCGAAGGTAACAAAAAACGGGGTAAAAATCAATGATCTATATTCACCGATTTTCGCTTTAGATATTTAGTTCCGTAGGCAAAGGAAAGCAAAAACTACGACAATCAGGCATGGTTTTTTGTTAAATAATTTTGTATTGGACAAAACTTGGAGTTCTCTTTGATGTGAATTTCATAGTTAAAAACTCCTTGGACCAAAGGTAAAGCATTGTTGTTTTCGAAACAAACAATTCTTAATAGATTTTGTTGACATTTTGGCGTTCCAAATTTAAATATCATTATTACCCAAAGGAACTTCCATACAGGCTTTAATAGCTTATTTTAAATTTAGAAAAATATACTATTAAACAGCAAGCGTTTTTAAACGGACAACGACGTATGCAATCATACGTCCAACCTGTGTTTTATGATGGTCAATATGGTCATCCTACTATAACAATCAATGTCGACATTTTAACAATCTTGTTAAAATGTGTATCTATAGTCTACACCCAGTTGGACATCCGGTTAGGATTAAGTAGAAGAATCTCTCCTTTCCTTTGGTTGGCCCAGTCGGTTAAAAATATTATCATGTTTAAATTGATTGATAATAAGTTTATAATGTCATTAAAACTTTTGGTTCACCTTGTTAGTGAAATAATAAACCTTAACATTTAACTTGATTCTTACTTAACTATAAGGTGAATGTACTTAAGTATGGGCCGAGGTAGCATACTGTTTGTTTAGCAATATGCGTGTGTCCTTAAGATGTACCTACCTATGACTGGCACAGACTGAATAAGTATTTTATCCCGTGATTTAGAATTATAAGAAACCACCCGCTCTGCTTTTGCTTAGCTAACAGCCTAGCCAGCCTAGCTAGCAGCTAGTCTAGCTAGTTTGCCTAGCCTGGATAGAAGCCTAGCTAGTTGGCTAGCTGGCAGCCTAGCTAGTTGCCTAGCTGGCAGGCTAGCTAGCAGCCTAGCTACTTGCCAGGCTAGCAGCCTAGCTAGTTGACCGGCTAGCAGCCTAGCTAGTTGCCTAGCTGGCAGCCTGGCTAGCAGCCTACCTAGTTGCCTGGCTAGAAGCCTAGCTAGTTGCCTAGCTGGCAGCCTAGCCAGCAGCTTAACTACTTGCCTGACTAGCAGCCTATCTAGCAGCATAGCTTATTGCCTAGCTAGCAGCCAAGCCAGCCAGCCAGCTAGTTGCCTAGCTTGTTTCCTAGCCTGGCTTCTGGCTTGCCTGGCTAGTTTCCTAGCTGGCTGCCTGACTAGCAGCCTAGCTAGTTGCCTAGTTGGCAGCCTAGCTAGTTGACTAGTTAGCAGCCTAGCTAGTTGCCTAGTTGGCATCCTAGCTAGTTGCCTAGTTGGCAGCCTAGCTAGTTGCCTAGCTGGGAGCCCAGCCAGCAGCTTAACTACTTGCCAGGCTAGCAGCCTAGCTAGTAGCCTAGCTAGTTGCCTAGCTAGCAGTCTAGCTAGTTGCCTAGCTAGCAGTCTAGCTAATTGCCTGGCTGTCTAGCCAGCAGTATAGATACTAAAAGAATTAAGAACGACCTCCGTTTCAAGTTGATGTCGTATTCAGACGTTCTGGGTTCCAATCCCCAGGGCAAATTTTGTATTACGAATGCGAGCGATCGGTAGGTACAGATAAGTTATGGCTGTTTAAATAAATAAAAAATCTGTGTATCGTTAACATGTATGTATGTCTGTTCGTGACCCTTATTTCCCATAATACAAGCCTTAGGGCCTGTGCTGCGTTAAGCGGGAGCACGGAGCGGACGTCCGCTCCACGTGTTTATTTCATATTATTTCATAGAATAGCGCATCTTAATGGGGTAGGTATTTTCATTAGGGAAATTCAACTGATCTAGATGATCAAAAAAGACTTGAGCTAAGCTTTTTATTCTTTTTTATTTTGCTTGACTGCTATAAATTCTTGTTTCGTTTAACCCAGTGGTTGGTATTTTATTTGATGACGTTTATCACATTGCTTCATAAAGTACCTTAATTATGTTTCACTTCACAGAATAATGTAATGTACGAATAAATTCACGGTGTTACAGTAGAAAATTGCTCTTGATAGCGTTCCTATTTACATTCATACAAGTTTACATTAAACGGATCAGAGCTGCTACATCACGGAAAAGATAATAACTTTATTTGTATCATTATACAAATATAACTCTCAAGTTTACAGCTCACTACAACGACAATTGTTTAGTACTTAAACTTGGGCGTGGTCTTAAATTCGCCAACAATAGGAAATTGTTGCCAACTCCGGGAGTGCCGGCAGAAGTGAAAACTTGAATATTAACGTTGTGCACTTTTGATATTTTGGAATGGTTAGGGAATAATTTTGCACGAATTGCTTTAATTATCAGTAACACTTTATATATACGAATTTTACGAATACACAGCAGTGTGGCCACTACACAAACGGTCGAGCCATCAACTGTCATCATCCATGAATGCGCGTGGCACGCTGTAACATAAACACACACAAACAATCGTGCAAGCGCCTTGCGCCGCCTAAGCGAAACAGCAGGCGCAGGCATTTCGCCGCGCCGTAGATACTTCCTCTCCTACGCCGCGCCGGCTGTCTACTCTCCATCCGTCTTACGAATTTTCCATCAGGTCACGAGTTTAAATTTTTTTACCCATTACAAAAAAAGTGTACAACGCCGCTAAAGAAGTTTTCACTTCAAAATTTATCTATATAAGATTCTGAAAAGTGTTAGCTTATTGCCACCATCAAAACCACCAATGTACTAAGTAGTGGTAACCATAATATCATTCAAACGGATGATATATTGTTGTAATTTCATAATAATTATGATCTTTCGCCACACGTGACTTTTATTTGTTGATAGACAAATAAAATGCAACACTTAATTAATGTTAAATGTCGTTATGATAAGTAAAAAATACAACCGCACTTGCACAAAATGCAATTTTATCAGAAACACTGCAGTATCGCTTTAGCAACGCAATAACAATATGCGTAGGAACCCATTTGTATTGGTTAGTCAATGTTATGAGTAAGTTTTAATTGAACTACAGTTAATTTATATTTTATGTTTTTTGAGCATGTAACTGTTAGATGTTTAAATCGAAAGAAAATTAAGAAAATTTCAATATATTGGACGAAACACAGTAATATTTTATTTTATCGTATTATAATAATAAGTCTCTATCGAGGACGTCCATGTGGCAGCTTTATTGCGAAGAAAATGCATTTTTTACAATAGATGTCGCTAGGTACGCTGAAATGTGATTCATGTAAGTTGATTTTTTATAATAGATGTCGCTAGGTGCGCTTAAATGTGATTCATGTAAGTTTACTTTTTCTGAGAGATAAACTTTTTAATGTAATATAAATTGTCATGTTTCGGTCATCGGTACGGACAGATAAAAAGGCTTTCTGTTATATAACTCAAAAGATCTTTGGATTTTTATTGGGCAAATCCAAAATCAAGTTCTAAAATTTGGTTCGCCATATATTCTAATAGTAATTATGGGCACGATAAGGATTTTTTTTTGCCCATCCCTGACCGGTCCAACAGCAGAAATGTAAGTGGATGATATACAAGTATAACAAATTATAAAACTCTGAGTCAGTGTTACCAACCCTTACCAAAATTTTCCCCTAAGTATTTTTTAAATTCCCCTAAAATCCCCTAAATATACAATTTTTAAGTACCTACTATTACCCAAATTCTTTCGTTGCTCATAAATTAAAACGTTACATATTTAGTTACAGTAGGTAAATAATTTTATTGAATAAATACAGTTTCCGAAAGTTAAACGAAAATGAGCTGACAGTCTGTTAAATCTTATTTAGCTGTTTTTTACTTTAGTCCATACAGCCTTAGGAAACGGCCCGCCACTCAGTCAGTTCAGTCGTTTCATATCGTGGTGCGTTCCATTCTACGCACAAAACTGAAAGAAAACACACGCTTGCTTTTTCGATTTAATTGCAAGTTTTGATAAAAGCCCCTAAAAGAACCCCAAAAAAATTCCAGCCCCTAAAAAAGTCCGTTTTAACACTTCTAGCCCCTAAATCTGGGGGCAAAACCCCTAAGTTGGGAACCGTGCTCTGAGTTGATGATTACATACTTTATACCGAACATAAACACATAGTTGTACTGCACCTGCGTATATCCGGAGAACGAGGCGTCCTAACAATGTGTCCCGGCGAAGAAAAACACGGCTAGACGATTAACCGACTATTGTCCTATTGTTATAGTATCATCTACCGCCAATCAATCAATCAATCACGTGCTTATGTGTTTTTTTTACAAACTTGCACACCGCGGCTTAATAAAACTTCTACAAACTCGCTTCTACATAGCGTAATAGGCGAATGATATTCTCCACCGGTTTACGAATAACTTTAGCGAAGAACAAAATCGTGGCGAACACATGTAGTTGTTCGATTTTCAAACCTACTACATAGAAAACACTGTGCATACAAGAATTTCTCGTCTTTGAGTAGCCTGTACTTAAAGTAGCAACTTATTGGCAGCGGCCGCGCCGAGCCGGCAGCACGCACATCGCGGTTCTCGATCATAACACGAAGAAAAAAAAAAAGAAATCAAAAACTCCATAGCAGGCACACTCATCGATAACGTATGCGATTCGATTCGACACTAAAGAGTTTTGGAAACCGATACATACGTGCAGTTGTTTACAAACGATTGGAAAAGTGCACCGGTTTAATTAACGAGTTGTTTCTCGCCGATTGTATCGCGGAAGTGTACATGTGTGGTTGAACTTGCATAGTTTCTGGAAGGTCAAGGAATTCCAGTGGTTTATGCTTGATTTCGTCTGTGGATGCGTCCGCTGTGCAATGCTATTGCTCTGTCGCGCTATATATCGGTAAGTGTATGCGAGAATTTTTTCATTGTTCGCAAGAAAACATCTGCTCTAGGCAATGGGTTATTTATAACGATTATGTTTGTTTCTTTTTGCGTATGGAGTTACTCAAGAAGACTATCAGTCAAGAGTTCAACATTCAATACGTACGTGTTCAAAATACGTATTTCCGCCATAACATTTGATTTAATTATCAAAACACAAGGACTTTTATAACTCAGGAACTTTTTAGCGTGCATTAGCATCTTACAACTGTGAGAAAATACAAAGATGGGTATCATAAGCACGATACATGTTGTAGAAGAGAAAAAAAAACACGTAATTTAAGCATTATTAGAACTTCGTTGGTCGCGAGCGTGACAATTTGAATTTATTTGGTTCCGAGATTATTACCTTTTGGCTAGGTAGGTGCCGTAGGTGTAATTGTGTAATTTTCTCCGGTAATTTCAGAATACAATTGTGAAGTTAGATTTACAGTATGCAATACAAAGACTGCAAAGACTGTTAGCAAAGAAAATCCATTCATAAGTAGGTATGTTATTCATAGTAAAACTGAGAAGCAAATCGGGTAATGATCTCTTCAACGGTTTGTATTTAACAGCTGAAGTCTCCTGAAGAAATGCGTGTAGATACAGTAATCAAAGTAATGAAGTACATTTTATTTAGTACTTTCAATACATAAATGGCCAGCTTAGATTCTCTAAAATGGTTGCCAGATTCAAGCTTATCAATTCCTGGATATAGTCCTATAACGAATTCAATTATCTGGCTTCTGTCGCCCTCGCAGACTTCCGCCCTGGGCCATGGCCTCCTGAACCTAGGGTAAATAATATTGTGATTAAAAAATGGTATTCGCGGATTCCAGGATAATAAGTGTATTTTTTTTTCTAATTAATCCCCGTTTTGTTACAGGTCTTTATGTTATTTATCGTGTCTATATTCTGTTTTGTTTTCCATTCTTTTGTTTTCTTTTTTTGTGCTTCTTTTTTTGTGCTTCTTTTTTTTGTTTTTTTTTATCTCTTATCTTTATAATTCTATTACATATTTTTTCTTATTATGAATATTTACATTTTCGTTTCTCTGAGTTTTTAATTTCTTATATCTATTTTACAATCATTTTTCTTGTTTATTTATTTTCTATGAATTTTTACACATTTGCTTCTTGTTATATATCTTATTTTTACATTTTCATTATAAATACTTCTTTTACAATTGAGGTGCTGTATTAGCTTTATTTACTAGTCCTTATTTCTTTCTAAACTCTAAGAATAGTCTCCTTTCTTTCACATTTTCAAAGATTTCCCTTAATGTGTCCTTACTGATTTGTGTATCAATGCGTGTTTGTAGTGTGTGTCTTTGTGTTTCGTACTGGGGGCACTCTGTGAGAACATGGAAGATGTCCTCCTCGCACCTGGGTCGCAGACGCATCTAGGGTTGTCCTTCTTCTTAAATCTATGGAGGTAGGCGGAAAAACCTCCGTGTCCCGTAAATATCTGAGCAGCAATCCTGTCAATCTCAATCTTCCTTACTATTCCAAATGCATTTTCCACGCAAGGGAAAAATGCCTTTGTTGTGGCCGCCGTATTTTCGTTTCTATAACGTCTGCCCCATTCTACTTTTGTCTCAGCGCGTAAATGTCGCTTGACAAAAGAGATGGGGCAGCCGTCATAGTGCGATTTACATTTCAACCCAAGAGTCGCTCCCTTCGCTAGCTCATCCGTCGTCATCTCTCGTTCCCGACCACGCCGACGTGGGCCCTGATCCAATATAGGGATACGGTTTTTCCGTTTTCCCTAAGTTGGACCAGGTTCCCCTGTATTGCCTTTGTGATCGGGTGTGAGGAGTCTGGATCAGCCAGCGACTGGAGAGCAGATCTCGAGTCTCTGAGTACGGCGACTTCCTTCCATTCTTTCCCTAGCACGCATTCCGTGGCTCGGAGGATAGCATACAGCTCGGCTTGGAAGACTGTACAGTATGGCTCCAGCTTAAACTTTCGGGACAGTACTTCCACCTGCCCTTTCCAACAGGTCAGGGCAGCTCCTACTTTTCCCTCCAGTTTGCTACCATCTGTATAGATCTTCACAAGACCTTTTGCCGTTTTGCCATCCTCCTCCGCGTTTTCCACACACTCAAAGCCTATCACGCTGCTGCTCCCGGGGTGGACCTTTCTGTCGCACAGTATTTCCAAGGGCTTTCCACGTTTGGCTTCATAAAGCCGTGATGCTTCATGGACCCGAAGATCCAGCGGAAGAAGCCCCGACAACACTAGCGCAGCGTTGAGCGACACTGTTCTGTAGCATTTGACTAATAAGTGTAATTACTGGACACGAGACCGGACGCCAACTTCCGGGGCTTTCCCGGATTTCCCGGACATCTAGAAACCTTATTCTCTACGTCAGATAGAACTGTCAATAATATGTTTTCAATCTGTAATTAACGTAGGTGTTACTTGGTTGCTACTCCAGAAAAATCTAACTATTTTATTAACCGATACATACAACGATGTCTGAAATATATAAAAATAACAATCAGGCTTGATCTATCAAATATTTTGAATGGACGATCGATTCAGTGTGATGAGAAGCGGTTATATTACCTTTGCGTATGCAAATGATTAACTGTAACTGTCAGATAGTTATCGAACGTAAATGTCACTAAAGAACAAGAACCAGCTTGCTATGGAATCCAATGCTTGACTAGATTTTGTTGCTACGTCAAGCTGGGATGCCATAAGTGCACATTTCATCTGGATTCTTCATTACAAAGACATGAGCGAGTTTACAATCTTTTCTAAATGACGCGCAATTATAGAATGAATCTTTATCAAACAAAAAATCTAGGAGCACCATCGGAGAGCCCGTAGAAGAAGCATTATCCACTCCTCCAAATACAAAAGCTTCCGCAATCATAATAATAGATAAATAGATAGAGATAACTAACATTGCATATGAAAATGGCAAACTTTTATTTAAATAATAAATTAAAAAGATGACAGATAGGGAAAATGAGCATAGAAACTCAATTTTTAACCATATAAACCAACCACTATGTAACAAAGACAGCAAGTAATAAAGGTATTCAATTCATAAATAACTTAGATTAATAAATAACGATTAAAGTCTCCTTTTCCGCGTGATTGAGTAAATAATACTTAATCAGGTCATTTTATTTGCCATGATATAAAATAAATATATTAAATACATATTATTATAATTAAATCTTACGATATAATCAATTAATATTAATAGCGTGTAAACATAATATCTGAAACAGAAGCAACAAACGGTAATACTAGGCCCACGGTAATCTGGAGCCCGTCTAATCCAGCGCCCTCTGTAATCCGACACGACACGCCTATCACTGATGATGAAATGAAATAGATTTTTAGATTTGTAATTTGTCGGATTACTCTTATATTAAAAAAACGGACTATAGAGGGCGGTCTTAGACAATACTCTATAATCCGACATCGCCTTGCAAAACTTTTGTCGGATTACCGTGGATCTGCTATCTATAGTTTGTGTTAATACATAGATAAAAGAATTTAAAGGGTCAAGAAGGCCATGGCCTGGGGCGGCAGGCTGCGAGGGGCGACTGCAAGAGCTGCAAGGTGCTGCAGAAGCCATATAAAGGCATTTCTAAGGCCCGTATTATAGAAAGATTCTCAGTGATTGATCTAGTCTTGAGCATAGTTAGAAAGGGATGTCGCTATATATAGCACAGAGCGATATCCATTTCTAACTGTACTCAAGAAAAGATCAACACTTAGTTGTCATTCTGTAATACGAGCCTTACTGAGCGTTAGCTTTAATATAAGGCCCCACTCTACAGTTTTCTCACATTATTGAAATTTTGGATTTGGATAGAGCTTCGCAATTATCACGACCAAGGATTTTATTTGGGATTTTCCTGATATTTTTAATTATTAACAAAACAACTACGAGTAAATAAATACCAGAGTATGAACTAATTACTACTTCCTGTTTATTTATTTATATACATTCACATGTGCGTTGTGTAATGCTGCCAGTCCCCCGACTGATTTTTTATTATATTTTGGTTAGATAAGTTACACATATTACCATAGGTATTTTGTTATTGACATTTCCAAATTTTGACGTCACAATTTGGAATTTGAAAAAGTTACGCAGTTTCAATCACATGGCAGATGTAAGCGTTTTGGAAGTTCTTTGACATTAAAAGTGAAATCAACTTTCTATTCATTACAACAGCGAATCCAATCAACAGGTTAAAAAATAACAAAAATTTTGAAACCTTCGACTGATCTCGGGGGTCTACTGAGTGTATCATTTTTTATGTATTTTTGAAGTAGCGCCCTTTGTAGTTTTTTTTTAATTCGTCTGGTCCTCTGTATTCTATCCATAGGCAAGGCCTGTCGCAGGAATATTAGCTTAAAAACTTAGGTATAGCATTTGACAGTTTCTTTAGCCACCAGTTTGTTTCTGAAATTTTTATATTCCTAACAGGATCCGTGTATTAAATCTAAGAGGTGTATTTAAACTATTCACCTATATGACGTCCACAGGTGTGAAATACATTTCATGTTTAATATGGTTCCTATATATTTCATTGTCTTTTTGATTTTAAATTGTATATTTAAATTAATTGCAAAAACACACACCGTGCTCATTTAGAATTCATATATACAACTTGGTTTCACGGCATATTAATGTAATGCTCTCCGGTTTACCAATGGCAACAGATGTCATGACACATGAACTTAACTTTGGAATTAAATGTAGTACACATGGTTAATTATATGTTTTTTTTAAATCTACATAAAACGGTCAAAGTTCAGATCACACAAACGGAAAATTTTGGTACCACTTTTTTAAAATGGAAATGTATTACGTAAATGTAAAAAATATGAATGAACAACACTTGAATGGTGATTTTTCATACAATAATAAATTAAACATTTTCCTCGAAATTCAATTACTCACGTTTATAAAAGTTTGCTGATTGCTATTAGTAAACGTCTAGGTGTTCTTGTTTCTGCCATTTGATGCGATAACTGCGAAAGAAACGGTAATCTAAAAATAAGGACAGATTTAAGGTACGTTTATTCGAGATTTTACAAAATACTATAAGTAATCAATCAATCTTCATTACACATATTCAGAAATAGATACAGTTTAACACACTGGGTTTTTCCAACGCATCCCGCACAAACCGGAATCCTTCTCGTTTTGAGTTCTTTGTATTGGTTATAAATAATAATCATAACACAAGTTGTAGATTTACAGTTTCTCTTTTAAGTTGTAACAAGAGCATAACAAGAGAGACATTCGTAGTGCAATTTCATTAATTGTGCATTATATAATGAGGATCATTAAAGGTCAGCAAATCAACTCAAAATGTACAGTATAATGATGTAATAAGCTTTTTAATTAATATAATTTTTAAATCATCGAAATGCGATTTCATAACTAATTTTATGGTAGCCAATATTCACCGGCGGCGCTCGAACTGCCCGCGACTTCGCCTACTTGGTTTGATCGATTTCCCATACAAACTCCCCCCCCCCCCCCCCTCCCTTTCAACCCCTTCAAGTTTGATTTATGGGATAAATACTATCCTATGTGCCTGGGACTCGAAACTATCTATACCAAATTATATTAAAAACGGTTCAGCGGTTTTTACGCCAGGAGCACATCATCGGTTTCATACAATTACTATGGTTAGAGACATATTTACGTATCGTGTCGTGTCGACACTTTAACCTGTCTATCTCTCTCTAACCCATAATAAATGTATGAAACCGATGCGCCACGTCACGCCACGACACGTTAATATGTTTCTGGCTTAAGATTTGCCTCGCCTTATGAGTTAATGCCACGGCTCCTATTTAGCATTGAAACTAATAAAAGGAACAATTGGAAAGTAATAATTGAAACGGGAATGGATGTGTACACTATAAAAAAGGCTAAAGCTATAAAACTGTGTCAACACTGCGGTATAGATTTTGATGTGGTATATATTTAATGAATTGTCATTAAATAATAGCTGACACATAATATGATAAAGTAGGGGACTAGACTTTAAGACAATATTTAATTTATTTAATCCTGATATTATGAGTACTTATTATTATTGCAAAAAGTATGGATAACTAGATTTTGTTTACTTAATCTTACACTTACTTAATTATTAACACTTACCTAATTACTAATGCCATTTTGTAAACAAAATGGCTATTATGTTTACAAAATGGCATTAGTAATTAAGTGTCCTTAAAAACAAAAATAATAATATAATTAAAATCATAAAGCCCGTGTATGCTATATCTTCCAATTGATAGACATTCTGCCTTATGATTTATGAATCAGTTCGTTAAAAATATGAATTGCAAAAAAAATCATTATTAAGAAGTAGAAACAAAAAAATCTATCTGCAAAAAATCCAAGCTCGCTTAAGCTTTCTAAGAATAAGAGACATAAAAAAACTGCGTAAAACCCAAGCTCACCGTGCTAAACCCAGCACTCATATCCAAACCCATATATAACAATCTATTTATATAAACATAGAATGCTACAATATTTAGTATGACGGAGCCTCATTTCAGAACGGCTTGAACGGTTTTTTTTCTTTTTGTGTACACTCTTGCGAGGAAAAGGTTTGTTTGAACCATTTTACATTTTTTTATTCAGCAATATAGTCCAGGTAACGAAAAGGTATAGAGGGAAATGCTTAGAACACAATTTTTGACTTCGTTACTTTGTTAGGACTAGTTAGGAGGTCCATTAAGAAAGTAAAAAGAAAGTAGTGTCATTGAGAAACTGTAATTATCTAATAATAATATCTGTAATAATGATATCCGCTCTTGAAAATCTGTAATTATAGAAAAATAAAATTGCTTTACATTTATGCTCTATTTGACCGGATAACTCTCGGACGTGAAGGTAATGAAGCTCAAAAAATGGCAAGACGTGGCAGTTTTTTCGTCCTGCATCGATTTGCATAAAAAATTGGAATTAGGCTCATCTTACCCTCTATTTCAAACTCAAACTCAAACTCAAACTCAAATCATTTATTGCAACCATAATGTGTACAGTGGGTGGTAGGTACTTATATAAATATGAGCATTATGGACCCCGTCGGGCACGCAATTGGTTATTAGAAGAGAGGATACGCTTCTCAGAAGAACAACACTAATAGTAAAATTTTAATTGGATGTTAGAGATTGTTTCATTTGTTTATTTTTGATTGTTATAATTGGATTGGATCTGATTTAATTATAAATAATAATATTAATAATTTCACAAAATTAAATATAAAATATAATAAATAATTAAATAAATTATTTGTACATGTACATTAATAATTACTGATCTTATCATTAAAATATTCATTTACATTATAATAACATTTTCATCCCACCACCTCGGAAAGTGTAATTTTGCGCTTCGAAATCTGGCTGGAAAATTCTATTTTATTCGCTTGAGCGGCAAAGTAGATTTGAATTTAGAACATCACATATAATGAGTACTCAATATAATTGTAAATTCAAAACGTCATTAAACCTATTTAATGTAACCTCTATGGTGCCAAATTTATGATTAGAACTTTTTAAATTGTGAAAAAATTTAAATTTGGAACCTTCTTGGTTTCTTTGTTTTATTTGCGTGCTTCGCGCCATTCTAGTTTTTCACGTTTTATTGCTTAAATATTTTGTCATTATAAATTGTTTTCTTTTTCATTTTGTCATTTCCTCGCTGAGGTGGGATGAAAAGTTACGTATTGCACTCGAGTGGAAAGATTTTTCACCTTGTGCTCGTTTGTTTCCCTCGCTGACGCTCAGGATTCTAATTTAGAATCACTCGCTGCGCTCGTGATTCAACTTTAGAATCCTTCGCTTGCTCGGTCATCCAAATCGAGCACGCGGTTAAAAAGGAACTTTCCACTCTTGTATAATAAATAACTATTGTTAATTAGAAATTCCTTTAATTTATTTTTAAATGTCAAGTAATTATTTTCATTCATTATTGTATTGGGCAATTTGTTATAAATTTTAATTGATGAATTAAATGTGCTTGATGATGATAGTTTTAGCCTAGAATTAGGCAATATTTATTGTTGTATCGAGATGTGTATCTAGATGGAATGTCTTGTCGTCTAGTGTAGAATTCGTTATGTTTGCGCACAAACTTGCACACTTCCAAAATATACAAACACGGTAGTGGAAGTATCTGATACTCTTGAAAGAATGGTCTACAGCTCTCCGTCTGCTCGATGTTGGCTATGATACGGATTAACTTCTTTTGCATGGTAAGCAGCAAATGTGCGTCCGTACTGTTACCCCACAACACCACCCCGTAACACAGCCAAGCATGGGCGTAAGCGTAGT